AGTATTAGGACGTTTTGGAAAATTGATTTGCAAGCATTTTTACTTTATCGGAAAATCAATCGAAAAGTCAAATCGTTTGTTAAATGCTCACAGGCAAAAGGGATCAAAACTCTCTATCAAGGGCTCTCTGTCTATAACCGAAAGTCATTGAATTGAGCGCATTTCGTTTATTGTATTGAACACCAAAAAGAACTAGAAGAACACAAGCTCAGTAAAATTGTTCAAAATCTTCGACATAAAAACTGATTATATTGAGTGCGTGATGTATGGTAGAACTGACTCCGCAAAACTGCGTTCAGCCGATTGATTTGCATTCTATAAAATGTTCCTAATCTCCGAATATATGGAACGTTAAGCGAATACACTGAATTATTATAGACGAAAGAATCAAGTATCAAATGTACTGCCATCGAAAACGTTATTCACTTCACTGTAGCAAACTTTTAAATCCCTTCAAGGCGAATTTCACTCTATATTTATTATATGTTCGACAATGAATAGGACAAAGAGTGAGAGAACAAGAAGAAGAAGAAAAAAAATCAACGAAAGAAATTTTCAATAAAGAACATTTCCTCGTGGCATTTATCCACGCCATTGTGTGTCTGTGTGGCGTAGCAAATCGCTGGATACACAGTAATTCTGAATATGCAAATAAAAGTTTAACTTAAAGTAATAGAATATACGAAAGCAGAAAAAAAGTGAACGAGAGAGTTTAAAGCATACACGTTTCTTCGTTTGTTTCTTTTTTGCATTCCATGTTTCAATATACTTTATGTGTATGGCGCTTGAATTTTCAAATCGATTCAAACAATGATGTTCGAATATTATAATGACGACGATGATACGATGTAATATGCAACGCACAATCTCTCCTGTGATTCAGAACAAACGCTTCACTTTCCAAAGTAAAACAATTGGGTTGATGTGTTTGTATGTACTGATGTGCGCGTACAAAGAGTCCACCAACACGACAAATCGCTATGCTGATATTGGCACATCTTTTTATACCCTTTTTGCGAAGAAACCTAACAAATTCTGTTTGATATTATAATGCATACACCGCATCGTACATATCGCTTTCAAACGCTCACTTCAAATCCACTATATATCAAACGCATTAAACAATAATATGCGCGCTCATTTTATAAATACAAAAGTAAATATTTTGCCAAAGTGAAAATACGCAGCGGTTGAATATCCGACGAATCGACAGAAAGAAAGAAAGAGAAAGAACGAGCGAGCAGAGGGATGGGAGAGAAAGAGAGAGTGCAACAACCGACAATGGAGAGCAATGTTAAACACAAAAAAGTATCAAATAAAATTGTATACAGCGTGTGCACACACAAGTACGTATACACAACGCAAAAAGTGAAGCGGATTGAAAGAGAAAGAGCAACATTACAGTTTGAAACTGTAAAATGCGTTCACCCTATCCACTCGAGAGTCTTGGTTTAATAACCCAAGGGTGGTTGGGAAAAAAGGCTTGTTTTAATTAAAAAATAATGTTTTTTATCGTTACATAAAATCTTATGATGCGAAACCGAAAAAACAACGACAACGCAAGCAACTTAAGAATATGACATGCAACAGAGCGAAAACGAGCAAGAGGGCGTAAGGGAGAGAGTGAATGAAAGTGAGTCAGATTTGTGTGTAGAAGAATACGTTGGCGAAACGTATTGTGGTGGCATCAAGTGAATATAGAGACATAATAGCAAGTATAACGCTGGTGCGTTAAAAAAAAGGTATCCGTATCAAGTAGACGAATAAACGATCAAACTCATAATTCGAGTATTTTCTATGAATTTTAAATGAAATGCGCTTCGTATACACGCAAAAACAACGGAGCAAAGAGAGAATGAAAATCAAGTTGGCATTAACAATGGCATCTCTTTCACTCTGCGCTGCCATGATGACGATGATGACGATGACGACAATCACTACAAGAGATGCATCGAAGAGAACGCGAACGAAAACAAACGATAAGCTGAGATAAAAGGGATTATGTTACGTTTTAGACAATAGATAGCTAGACCATGAGAGCGGCGAAGAGAGTGAATAATGTGATACTAAAAAGAGAGTCGATGAATCGTTTTTATTGATGGCGGTTCGCATCAAAATGTTCTTGTAAGTACAACAAAAATAACAACAGCAGCTTCACAGTAAACAGTAAATTCTCTTTTAATATTTATTTAATTCATTTGCTGTATTACATCCCGCCCCTCATCATATCACACTGATGAATTATTAGCGATTTCAATGATATGCAAACGCGTATATTTGGATAGGATTTTTTTCCTTTTTTTTAAAAAAAAAAAGCGGTATCCACTTGAGATGTTTTCGTACTGTTCCCATTTCTATATCCTTCAATGTTATTAATAAATGCAAATTAATTCCATCAAACAAGTACCATCGATAATTGCCATCAATGTCAAAATGCTTTGTAAATAAATTGTCTATTGACATGATGGGAGACAATTTCCGGAAACTCAATCAGAATGGTTATTATTTTGTATCGATATGGATTATAATTGAGTTTATTCATTCATTTTCCTCCGTTTGTTTTGTAAACGAATTTTCGTTTCCTCGCTGTCTTGACAGACAGGAAGGGAAAACCATTGGATACAGCGACAAAACGAACAACATTTCGTACACCAAATTAAAGATTAATTGATTAATATTTACTTAGGACTTATATAGGACAAAGTCTAGAAATTCTTATTAATTTGACGAAAAAGGGTAGATTTCATTTAATTCGTGTTCACTGGTTCATCGCGCTACTCAAATATTTGCAATTGTTTCTAATATGGTGAACTGTTTACAAATCAAATCCAACGATATTTGAAGTAGAGCCAATACATTATATCGATAGATAAAATGGCGTCGCTTCATAAGATTCATTCATCAATTTTTAAAAGATTTCCTATACATTGAATATTTATTACCATTAAATTAGGATAATTGCTCCTCTATCAATCATTATTCACAATCCTGTGGATCTTTCATTCGATTTTGATAAATTCCAAATTTAAATAAATAAACCAGTTAACTGGAAATTTCAACCAAAATTGCTCAAAGGAAACGTTTACATTGTTTTCATCAAAAATAGAACAAATGACGGTGAATTATCAAATTATCAACGGTTATGATATTAACTATGTTTATCTATGTTTGAGATTATTTATCAACAATGTTAATATATTAAAACTATAGCGACATTTATGGTGAAATTTATAGTTCGGGAAATTACTCATTCTCAAAAGGAACTAGTTATCGAAGTCGACATTTATATATAATACTTTTTTTTATACTTTGTGAAAATCATAATCAAAATTTAAATCTGAAACAAATTTGAATTTCTGTAGTACAATGAGGAGAATTCAAACTTGAGTTTTGAAGAGTATCCGAGAATCATTTGAATTTCGCTCTTGGCTGAAACTAAAAGAGATCAAAAGTAAAATGGGTTCACAAATCGACACCAAACCACAGATGGGATTTCAAAGATTGCTATCTAGCGAAAACAAATTCATTCCATTTCAATAAACTCGTTTGAATATATTCTTAATGACAATTTCTCCCATTTGAAATATCATGCAATTTACAGTGTTGATACCCCGGAACCGTTAGACGGGCACACGACACACAAATTCATTTCAAACCATTAATATTTTGCGCCGCAATTCGTTATGCATGGCATGTGTAAGTGTGTGTGTGAGTGAGTGTTTATACGTGCTCTATTCAAAATGCATCTCATTTGGTGGCCGTTTTTGAAAGGGAGAAATGTAAAAACCAGCATCGAATTTATTATAATTTGTTTGAATGTATATAATTGTATGAGTGCGCGCGTGCTATATTAAGTGCAGTATGCGTGGCGGGTATGTAAAAAAGGGGTCTGTGAATACATCTCAATAGGTTGAGGGTAACATTGAAACAGATTATACACACAGTTCGAACCACATATTGTCTTTTTCACTCATTTGCGATGGATTTTTTTTTGTTGTTGTTGCCGTCTGTTTGCTACAGTGTTTCCATCGAAAATCATCATTCACAAAGTCGAAGATGCATGTCAAATGGACGTTAAAATGTATACCAATAAATATTAGAGTGGATTAAATGAAACTCCTCTTCTAATATCTATTGTATATTGAAAATACACCCTTCTTATGCAACGTTTTATTTAGTGCAAAATCAAAAAGTCTATACATTCAAATCGTGTGCTTCACACATAAGTATTATAGGCGTCAGTGTGCCTTTTGTGTGTGCGGGAAACGGTGCTAAGGGCTTTGACAGATTGACATTTTGAATGTCTCAATAAATGTTATGAATTATTGAATATATATCAAACTTAAGTAGAAGTAATCGAATAAGAGGGTTTTTGCCGATTCAATTATTGAAAAAATTGGTCATATTGGCCATTCTGAAGACTTATCTGCGATTAACGAAGTGCAACTAAAACCGCTTGCAATTATTTTTGAACATTAAAATGGATTTGGCGTTTTCATTCGCATATATTTGTATTTGAGATGAACATTGCCTTGCACAACAAAACGCATGAGCATCTCCACTCGTAAAATTGTCTCGACTCAATGTCTTTCCATATGTTTGTATCGCCAGAATCTTTCGACTGGTTTTTGTCTTTGCACAAATTTCATTGTGGCTCATTCACAATGATTCACTCACAAATACAATGATATACATTTTACCACCCTAACACCGACACACGCACACCGACTGTGTGTACTCGATAGCCGACAACCAACAGCTGTGTCTACATGCGCAACAACATACGAATCACATACAAACATTGTGAATTGTATACGTCGAAGGGGTGCTTCGTATTTACACCATCCACGTCCATGGATTCGTTCGGTCTATGGTAATGATAGAGCAAAAGAAACGGTCGTACAAAATCGGTCTCGATACAGTTCTTCACCCGTATCCGTATAAATCTGCGCTGTTTTACATTGCGCTAGTTAGTACTGTTCGCGACTTGCATCCGATAACACCGCTAAAGCGCTCAATTCGTTAGCCGATTGAAAGCGATTTTCAAAAAATTGATTGAACACCGATAACATAAAAAATATTGCCACTTGATAGAAACATTGGCTAAACATTGTGTGAAAATCAAAATTGAAATTGCTGGAAAAAAATTCAATACAATAAAATAAACAATTGAAAAGATTAAATGCAATTTTGATCATTTTTTTGCAAATAAATCGGTTTTGTTGAAATATTTTTGGCTGAACATTTTTCCAACTGCTTTTCGGCATTGTAGTTTGGATAAATTTTTTTGTCTCTAGATCAGAAAGTGCACCAAATGTAAATGCAAAGTTTTGAATTTCTATGAAAAAAAAATTAAATTGCCCCAAAATCATTTTCGAATTTTATGATTTCTGGGAATGAAAAAAAAAGAAAACGTTTTGTGTAGTGCTTGTTTTTTGAATATTAAGATAAAATTTGCAGTTTTTTGCAAAGCAAAACCGAAATAAAGATAGGGAAAAAACAAACGATTCGGCATTATATGAAAAGAGGAAAATCGTTGTGTAAAACAAATAAGCGGATATATTCATAGCAAGTAACAGCCGAATTGTTTCAATCAATAATGCATAAGTTTTTTTATGCAAATTAAATCGAACACATTTTTAATTGATTTAATCATTAAATTTATGTTGAGCGTGAAATATTCTCTTTTTTCATGCATTTGCATTTTTTTTTTTCAACACGATCGGTCATTTTATGCGTTATCATGCACACATTGAAATCGATACGACCGTTTCACAGATAAATTCATCAGAGGGCAATTTGTTGTTTCGTCCGCTTATTTTTCTCTCGTTAATTTTCGATATAATTGAAGAATATCGGAAAAATCCTTGCCATTATTAATTATCTCGTGCCAATTTTACGATGCTTATTAAATTCAATGAATGTTTGTTCATATTTTCATAAATTGAATAAATAATCATTTTTCATCAAATGCCGAACGTTGTTATTCTCGTACTTTTCTGTGAAAAAATAAAATAAAAAAAGTATTTTTTTATTTTATTCTCTTCAGTTTACATGAAAAACATCTACAAAAACATTTTTTCTGCTTTGAATACTTGAAGTTGGGGAAACATTTTTTGTTGAAGCGAATGCCTTGAGAGGATTTTATTGAATTGACAATTAAAATCCCTTGAAATACAAAAAAAAATCGACGAAAATCAAATACTTGAGGAAGTCTCTCGGATTACAAACGAGATTGGATACCTGAACCGATTTTGTCAATTAATTTTTTTTCTCTGCGTTGTAAAAAGAAAATAAGGGCTCTTCGAGAGGACATTCCAATTCCGATAGCGACGAAAATTAATTTTTGATGTGAACGCAAAAATGATGAAAAAGTTTTTCTTCGATGAGTGAGGTATTTTTTTTGGTTTTTGACGTCAAGTTTTTGAACAAAATTTAAATAAAAAAAAAAATTGTGCGTGTGAAGTAATCCGAAGAAAAAATCAATCCCGAAAAATAAAGTGCATCAAATAGTGCGAGAAGGAGGATTGAAAGATAACACACACCGAAAAAAAAAATTAAGCAAAAAAACTATAAACGTGTCAAAAACACAATCACAATTTTAAAAAATCGGAACTCGTGCTATGGTTTATCAAACATTTGGAATCGAATTTTAGCCATGGCGCACCGCAACAAGTCTAGGTGAGTCTCATATTTTTTTTCGTTCAACACACTTTTATTCAAATTAACTTGTGACATTGAGTTTGATTCAATCTATGTGGGATGCGTTGCATATAAATTGGCAAATGCACGTTTTTTCCCTAAAACAAGTAACGAAATCAAAAATGTGAAATTTCATAAAATTGAATGCGGCTAGAAAGTGACAAAAAAATATTTCCCGAAAAAAATGCATTTTATGCAAAAAAAAAGAATGTAATATAAAAATGATCAAACTCGATACATTTTTATTGATATCATTTTTTCTCTGCGGTTGTGGTAGAAAGTGTGTCGCTTATTTTTTCTGTGAATCTATGCCAACTATAAGATAATGGATGAAAATGAGGAAAGCCACAAACCGCAATAAAAACTTACACCATATACATAGCAGACATAATAAAAACGCCATTTAAACATATAATTATCGAAGTGAATAAAACGCTGCCGTTCTGATACAACGAAATTCATCGAAATCCAATATCTACAAGCGCACACACACTCACTCACATCTATATATATAAAATATAAAATCAGCTCCGATAAAAACCGATTCCATTGAGAGTATTGGCATTGGATTTTCCATTCGTGTCAAAACAACACACACTTTACCGATTCGAATGTCATTTACTCAATTGGATTTATCGTGTGAGATACCATTTTTATTAGTTTCGTTTTTCTCCCTCAATGAAATTTGTGGATTTTACTAGTCTCACTGCCATTTATTCATATATGCTCGTTCGTTCACATTCTCGCCTCGCGAATTGCATTCAAACATATTTTCTCGATTTTTTTTTTGTTTTGAAACCAATCGATAGCATGTTCCGATGTTATTTAGGAGAACCACAAGTGGAAAGCTTCAATTGGTGAACAAACGCGTTGTTAGTGTTTGTGCAATTTTCATTTAATTCGAAGCAAACCACGAACCAATTCGAATCAGTACAGAGAGTGAGCGTAGATAGAAAAAAAAATCATTGTATTAAATCAATGTGATGCTCTTTTTCACGGATTTTTTCTATCTGTGTTCAATTGCGAGTGGTGGTAGTTTTTCAGCGTGCACACTTTGCCAAAGCTAAAGCAATAAAACCGTTTTATTTGCAATAAATATTGAAAAGTGGAGTAAATAAAATAATCCCATTGACTAAACACTCACACTGACGGAATTTAATAATGATGCGCGGAAGAAGAGAAAAAATCATTCGCAATGAATAATACCGTGCAAATGATTTGTGTGTACAGCAGCAGTAGATATTTAAAAAAAAACGTAAATAATGCAACGTCGAAAGAGAGAGGGCAGACGAGAGAAGATAAACTTAAAACTTGAAATACAATCGGCACTAAACCAACAAACGGCAAGCCAAAGAACAAACTATGAAACGGACCTGAATGAAGCATATACACACACAGCGCGAGAATTGGGAGTGAGAAAAACCAAAGGCGAAAAAAACTACTGTACACACGCGAAAAAGAGACGCAAGCAATCAATCTTTCCAACATCCAATTTCATTCCAATTACGATTCTACTGTGAGAAAATTAAAACGATTTATTCGTGTTGAAAAAGTTTTCGGTGGAAATTTTTCCGAGCAATCGTTTGTACATGTACACATATACACACACACATACGGTCGATGCAACAGCAGCCGCTGGTTATACCACTGCTTATACCGATTTTCTTTTTGAGAATGGTTATTCATGTCTCGAGATTTATCTTCAGTGTTAACTTTTTCATTGGTTGCGTTTTTTTTTGTTCTATTTTGTTGCCTTCTTCGTCTCGTCTCGTCTTTTGTTCATTATTTTTATTTGCTATCCCCGTTTGTTCACTTGTGTGATTCACTTGCGAGTTCCGGAGAATGTTCTGCCACGATATTTCTCGATGTACATTTTTTCCCGTGTTGCTGTTTCTTTTAATCTCAATAGTTTTTTTTTGCATTCTTGCTCAAAAAACACTTGTTCCATTCGACGTTTGAATTGCGTTTTCCGGGGTTTCCATTTCATTTTACCGTCAAATTAAAAAATACGAAAAAATATTTAATTTCGTTTAACTTGTTTCTTCATTGGATCAGTGTCTCGCTGTCACTGTCAACGGTTTCATTGTCTGAATTGGTTAAATGATCGAACGAAAATAATATCGAATGCAAATATAAATAAATTACTCTTTAAAAAAACTCGTGTCGATATTCCAATTTCGTAGAGACGAAAAAGTGTTGTGTTTGTATTTGGTTTGCAATTTCAAGTAAAACACAAGTGAACTCAATTACCAGTACAGAATTTAATTTCGTTTGGCAACGTTCGCAATTGCCAACAAGACATTGGCTAAAGAGTGAAATGAAATGGAGAAAAAGAGAGAAAGAGAGCAAAAAAAACCATCAAGTGCAAAGTACATTCAATATTTCTCTGTTTTTTTGAGTCTCTGTTTAATTCCAATTAAAATGAAAATCGAGGAAATTCAATTCCTTGGCGGTCTCGACTGTGGTTACCATTACATTGCATCACATTTCGTTTTTCAAACCTCAATTTAAATGTGAAAACACTGCACACTTGTGCTCTATTCTTTTTTCTTCGGTGTCTCATCTGCACTTATTTTGCTATTTCGTTAAGCGTTTTCACTGATACGATTTTCTGTTCCATTCTATGCTAGTTCGACTTCGAACATGTTCGTGAAAGCACCGCTTCAAATTAAATCAGAATTTTACGGATTTTTCGTGAAAATTCTCTGTTTTTTTGAAATTCGAATTTAATTATCAAATTTGCAAGGCAATATAGTTCAATTTTCGTTGGAGCCACAACAAAGTGATTTTACTTGTTAAATTTCTTCTTTTTTCTTGTTCAGCATACATCTAAATTATTCAATGGTAATTTTCTCGATCTGAGTCCACAAAATATTAAAGTTTCAAATAACACATGACTCAACAGAGCCATTTGAATGACGATAAAAATACTTTTGATTGGCACATTCGAACAATTAATGCTTACAGTTTATTCCAATCAATGGGAAATCACTTAAAACCATTTAATTTTTGGTCTATTTTCAGACAAACTTGGAAAAATCTAAATTACCGGACTAACTATTGTTCGATTTAATGAATATTGAATGAGAATTTATTTGAGCGACGAATTTTAGAGTAAAGTTCGATTTTTCCGCGTATTATTATTAGAATCATCTGATTGACAGATTAAAACAAGTTTTGAATCAGCCATTTTTTTATTCTCAAAATTGGGGTTGTTTCAAACTTAATAGTATTAGAGTTTCTGTTGTATAAATACACTTATGAATGCTAAAGTGGCCAAAATATCAATAGTACATTTTCATGTGCTTGCCAATTAAAGTCAATTTGTGACATTCGATTTTGTAAAATTATTCAAGATATTTTCGCATAAGCAATGTAAAACACAGTCCAATGCGAGACTAGGGGAGAGAAACCAATGCTAGTTTTTCTAGTTTATAGCTAATTTACTAGTTTATTGCTTGAATAATCTAATAATGCTATAATATTCCTTTATGAAATTGCTAGTTTTTTAGTTTTTTGTTCTGTCAAATGACAATCAAATGATTGTACTGACACAATGAAGTATTTTGACGTTTTGTTGTTCAGACATATTTTTATGTGTTTTGAATAAATATACACTTATAATAGTGAAAATTAGTTTGATTATTCTTTTTTAACACAAAATCGTGCATAAAGTACTTGTTTCTTTCAATAGTCGACTTGTAAAATTGATTTAGTCAGCAAATCATGGCACAATATCAAAATGGCGGATCAAAAAATTTTTGCTAATTTTTCTAGTTTTAGCTAGTTTTCATCTAATTTTCCTAGTTTTTACTTGAAATATAAAAAACTAAGAAGCTAATGGTTTCCGTCCCCTAGATGCGAGACAAGTAAATTTATATCCAACAAATTATTAGTTATTCCATTTTTATTGGACGAATTTTGGAACGAACATAGCGCAGAACATAAATCCAAAAAAAAATGTTCGTTCTCGAACAATATTAAATTTCGCATAGAAATAAAATATAAAAATTTAAATAAAATGACCGTAAAATGAAAACTTGTGTCAATCATTGGAAAATAAGTTTGATGAAAAAAGACTTCTGCAAATTGACGCTGTGTTCTTACAACATAATCCGATTCGAAGTGGTCAACTCATAAGTAACACTATAGTGTTGATTATAAAAACTTAAAAGTTTCAAGTAATTTTCGTATGATTATGCACAAATGCTTTGTAACGTTTTCGAGAAAAATTTTGAGAACTTAGCAGTAATACCTCGCATTATCTTATGGCCAAAAATTAATAAAGTTCAATCGACCGATTGCAATAAAGTTGTTATTTGTGTGAATTTATCAATTTAACCATCCAACATAGTGTTTAAAATGCAAAGCATCAGCTTTTGAAACGGTGGATTAAAATCGATAAAACATTTTTCACTGCAGTCTAGAGCAATATTGAAAATTTTCGAGAGTAGAAAAACATACGGAGCGTGTACGCTCCATGCCATATATAATCATTTTCATGAAAATTTACACACCCAAACGAGAGATAAAATAGAAGCTACGTGACATCAACTTCTTGCGATGATGTGACTAGATTTAGGTTTACGATTTTGGATATAAAAGTATAGCAACTTGAATATCAATAATCATCTTTTACGATAAATATCGTTTCGGTCCATTGATTTTTGATCGTAGAATGGAGTGGGGGACCATGTGCTTGGATATTAAATTATAATTCACACTTTTGAAAACAATCGATTCGGTGTCAATAATTGTTCAAGCAGATGATATGAATATAAATTTGTCGAAGTTCAGTTCAATTGAAACGCATTATGAAATTGTTACCGCTGAAAAGCTTGACATTTCAATGAATCGCTGAAATTATTTGCAAAGCAAATGAAATGAATACTGTAAATATTTCAAGATTCAATATACTTTAAGACACAAAGAAACATACATGTGTGTCGAAAAATCATAAACCAAATCAAATAAAAACG